TCTCTTTCTGTGTCTCTGTCTCTGTTTCTCTGTCTCTCTTCTCTCTTGCTTTTCTCTCTCCCACCCTGTCTCTGTCTCTCTGTCTCTGTCTCGCTCTATCTCTGTCCCTCTCTGTCTCTGTCTCTGTTTCTCTGTCTGTCTCTTTCTCTTCTCTCTCCCTCTCTGTCTCTTTGTCTGTGTTTCTCTGTCTCTCTGTCTCTGTTTCTGACTGTCTCTTTGTCTTCCTTGTTCTTCTCTCTCCCTCTCTCACTCTCTGTCTCTCTGTTTCTCACTATCTCTGTCTCTGTCTCTCTCTGTCTCTGTCTCTTATTCTTCTCCCTTGCTCTTCTTTCTCCCTCTCTCTCCCTCTCTCTCTCTGTCTCTGTCTCTCTCTCTGCCTCTCTCTGTCCCTCTCTGTCTCTGTCTCTGGTCTCTGTCTCTGTTTGTCTGTCTCTTTCTCTTCTCTCTTGCTCTTTTCTCTCCCTCTCTGTCTCTCTGTGTCTCTCTCTGTTTCTCGGTCTCTGTCTGTCTCTCACTATCTCTGTCTCTGTCTCTTTTTCTTCTCCCTTGCTCTTTCTCCCTCTCTCTCCCTCTCCCTCTGTCTCTGTCTCTGTTTCTGACTCTGTCTTTTCTCTTTTCCCTTGTTCTTTTCTCTCCCTCTCTTTCTTTCTCTGTCTCTTTTTCTTCTCCCTCGCTCTTCTTTCTCCCTCTCTCTCTCTCTCCCTCTCTCCCTCTCTTTGTCTCTCTGTATCTTTTTTTTTTCTTTTATTTATTGGTGAAACACCATGAGGTACAGTTGTAGATCCACAAATTTTTGTGCTTGGGTCTCGACTATACAATGATCAAACACCCATCCCTCTATCAGTGCCCATTTCCACGACCATGGATAATATCCCTCCCACCCCCATTCCCCCATCCCACCCTGCCTCTGTGGCAGGGCATTCCCTTGTGTTCTCTCTCTCCTTTTGGATGTTGTGGTCTGCAAAAGAGGCGTTGAGTGGCAAACATGTTCAGTCCATAGCCTACTTTTAACATGCATCTCCCCTCCTGGGAGGATCCTCCAGACATCCTTTATTTGGTGCTCCCTTCTCTATCCGAGCTGTCCTTTCCCATAGAACACCCGGCTGGCCTCTAAGTTATGGAGTAATCCTCCTGGTGCTGATCTCAGCTATTCTTGGGTATTAATCTCATACTTTGTTACTTTATATCCCCCAGATGAATGCAATCTTTCTATGTCTATCCCTCTCTTTCTGACTCATTTCGCTTAGCATGATACTTTCCATGTTGTACCACTTGTATGTAAATTTCATGGGTTTTGTCTAAAATTTTAGTCACCTTGATTTATAATATTGTTAATGGTAGGGCTTCATATACACAATGTTCCAGCCTCCACTAGAGTGTCTACCTCCCTCACCGTTATCTCAGGGACCTACTCCCATTGCCTCATCCCCCATTCCAGCTCAGTACTGTAGAAGAGTTCTCAGGTCCTGCTCTCTTTGGCCATTTGTTATTGTTTGCTATGTTTCCATTATATGAAAGAAATCTGTCCCTCTCTTTCTGATTGGCATTGCTCAGCATGATACCCTATAGTTCTATCCAGGTAGCATCAAATCACATGATTTCATTTTTTTCTTTTACCCAAGTAATATCCCACTGTGTATAAATGCCATAGTTACCTTATCTGTTCTTGTACACTTGGGTTGTTTCCAGATTTTAAGTATTGTGAACAATGCTGCAATGAACACAGAGAAGCAAATACTTCTTCTGAATAGAGTTTGGGGGGCCTTGGGGGTAGATGCCAAGAAGTGGAATTGCTGGGGCATATGGAAGATTAATTCTTAGTTTTTTGCATTTCCATAGTCTTTACCAATAGGGCTAGACCAGTTGACATTCCCACTAGTAGTGAATGAAGGTTCATTTTTCCCCAGATCCCCAACACTGGTTGCTTTGTTCTTTGTGGTGTGTGTCTCATTGGTGTTTTGATTTGCATTTCCCTATGATCAGTGCACTGCACTTTTTCATAAACAGAGCACTTTTTCATAAGTTATTGGCTATCTCTGTGTTTTCTTTGAGGAAGTTTCTATTCATCTATCTCTTTTCCCCATTTTTTCTGATAGAATTGGTTATGTTTTATTTTCCTGTTAAGTTTTATAAGTCACTGTCACTGTCCTCCCATTATTCATCAATTTGCTTGAGCATGCACCAGTAATGTCTCACAACAAATAGTGAGACTTGTTGTTACTGTTTTTGGTATATTGAATATATCACAGGTAGCTTCTTGGATACCAACCCTTTGTCAGATGAGTGGTGGGAAAATATTCTCTCCCACCCGGAACACTGTCTTTATTTTTATTCTGGTCACCATGTTGTTAACAGTTCAGAAGCTTAATTAATTTGATGTATGTTTTATCCTCTACGTTCCACTTGACAAGAGCATATGAAAGAAGTCAGAGCCTATGCCAGGACTTAAGCTTGACACTTTGGGCTTTGTAGAGAAGTGTAGTCATTTGAAAAACCAATGGGATGACTGATTTTGATTGAATCACCGAATTTTGGAGAAACTTTACCATCCTGATTGTCCTATCTGTTCACTTTTACATGAACTGAAGTAGGTAATCAGTTGCAAACAAAAGAAGTAATGTTTATTGTAACATTTGTTTTCAAAAATAGGTATTCTATTTCATGTACAAAAAACATTAGGTACTATTTGTGTGTGTGTTTATACGTGTTTTTATAAAATGTACATTTAAATGTGGCACATTTGTAAATATCAGCAAATTTGTAAAATTCAATTGAATTGTAAACCAAAATGCTATTGAACTAATTAAAATGTTTTTTGTCTCACCAGCTGTACTGTAAATTTGGGGGTGGAGCCTTCACAGAAGTGCTTAGGGACTCTGGGGCTATCTCAGTGATGCTGGGCTGGCATTGCAGCCTGACAGCTTTGGCTCAGGCAGTCATGTCATGCTGCTTGGCCCAGAGTTGCTGGGGGTGGGGGTGGAGTAGAGGTTTGCAGTGCTATGGGTCTCACTTTAGACTTTGCACATGCAGAGCATGTGCTTCAGCCCTTTGAGCTATCTTCTTGGCCCAGTATTACTTTTAAGTTCTTGTATAGTACAAAAAGGAGATATGGATTAATGAACTGGATATACAACGTGTTTCTTAATACTATAAAGAGTTAACACTCTAATGCTTTACATTGGTGGTGAATAAACATAAAGAAGCAAGAATGCTATTATATAGGACTTCTGAGCGATAGCACAGTGGGTAGGGCATTTGCCTTGCACGCAGCCAACATGGCCCATGCGAGTTCGATTCCTCCGCCCCTCTCAGAGAGCCCAGCAAGCTACCGAGAGTATCTCGCCCTCAAGGCAGAGCCCGACAAGCTACCCGTGATGTATTCCATATGCCAAACACAGTAACAACAAGTCTCATGATAGAGACCTTACTGGGCCCGCTCGAGCAAATCGATGAATAACGGGAGGACTGTGACTTCCGTAACTTTCTCTTTAAAAATTGCATCTTAGGGGCTGGAGCAATAGCACAGTGGGTAGGACTTTTGCCTTGCATGATTCCAATCCGGGTTTGATTCCCAGCATTCCATATGGTCCCCTGAGCACTGCCAGGAGTAATTCTTGAGTGCATGAGCTAGGAGTAACCCTGTGCATCTCCAGGTGTGACCCAAAAAGCAAAAAAAAAAAAAAATTGCACCTTAGATTTTGAACAACAAAATTTTCTTAAATGTATCTTTATTGACTATTTATTGTTAGTTAAAATACTGAAAATAATGGTTTCATATGTACATATTACATATTATATATTTAGTATAGAAAATTCTTGAATTTTTAAATTCACAAAAATGAATTTTAATTTTAATTTTATTTAAATTTTTCTAATAATTTCATATTCTAGAATTAAGCTCAAAATAGATAAAATATATATGAGTATATAATTTAAATATAGTTATGTACATTTTCTGGTAATCTTTTTTAATGAATAAGTGTTGTGAAGTCAAACTGTATAATTTATCACTTAACATTATAGATATTTTTTCCAATTAAAATTTTTTGTTGTTTTTTGAGCCACACCCGGCAGTGCTCGGGGATGACTCCTGGCTCTGGGCTCAGGGGTCACTCCTGGCAGGCTCAGGGGATTGAATCCAGGTCAGCTGCATGCAAAGCAAATGCTGTATTATCTCCCCAGCCCGCAAAACTCTTCCTTATCATCATATGCTATCTTATATCCATGTGTTAGGTTTATTAAACTATTTTATTATTGTTTAGTTAGGTGATCTTCGTATGGCTTGAGTTCATTTCCAGTGATGCTTGGAAAAGAGTGTATTGTGAGGTCTGAATCTGGGCCACCTGTGTTTCAAGTAGATGCTCACCCATTGAGCTCCCTCTCAGGCCCTTCACAGAAGTTCATGATTAAGCATTTCCTACTGAGTTGTTCAACAAAATATTGAAACCTAAGAGGTCTGGGAATAATCCCTTGCGAAAAGTGTTACATTTCCAAATAAAGTTTCTCCAGATTTACAGTATGTATTTGAAAAATGAAGGTCATTTAGAAATTTCATATACGAATGCCTGTTTCACTTTTTAAACCTTCTTTGTTCTCAAGGTGTTCTGAACTGGAACCCTTTCTCATGAGAGGTATTTCTATCTCAAAACCAGTGTTCTGTTGAAACAATCTTTGAAAAGTTTAGGAGAGTTCTAAACCTCTTTGTGATGTCTATTATTTTATGAATCATTTTAGTTACTCTCCTTGAAATGTGTAATTACATTTTCCTTTAATATGTAATGTCTTAAGAGTGAATGTTAATGATTTACCTATTGGTGTTTATTTGTCACAGGTATTTGAAACACAATATGCTTTTCCCAAACTTTCTACTTACCTTTACAATACATTCATGCTCCTAAAAAAGTCATGTTTGATCTTTTAAAATTGTGAACATTCAAATTTAACTTTTTTTTTTTCTATTACTTTTCATTAAACTTCTCTATACTTCATGTAACCCACAGGTCTTGCAAGAGCAAAATCCGTCCCTAGCCACACATACTCCAACGAAGTGGTTACCTTGTGGTATAGACCTCCTGATGTCCTCCTGGGCTCCACAGAATATTCCACCTGCCTTGACATGTGGTGAGAAATGGACGCTTTACTTTAGCTAATCTCTCTATAGTGTTTGGTCTGGGTCAAGCCTACACAAACATCCTAACAGTTTGAATGAAGATTAATGATGCAGGAGCGTTTGCCTCTGTGTGGCAGTACTGCTGGGTTTCTTTAAAAACATGATTAGAAATGTTCCCTAATCAGTGATTCCCTTGCAGATGGTGTCTGATGGACAGGGATAGAGGCATTCTTCTGTCAGTGCAGTGATTTTTCTCCCTAAGTGACTCAATTTGTGAATTCATTTTACAACAAAGAATTATATATCTCTAAGCAGAACTGTGGGTTGAGAGTAATGGAGAAAATATTTAAATCCACAACACAAAGGTCTAAAAAAATCTTAATTGGGACTCTTTGGCACCAAGTTTATTTGCACTATACTCCTAAAAACTGCCAATTATTCAGAGTGAAATTAAAGAGTTAATTATTTTTCAAACCCAGGATTAATTTTGGGACAGTCCATTTAACAAGATCATTTAACACAATTAAAAACTTCATCATAGTACAGGAGTTAAGGTGCTTGCTTTGCATGTATCAATTTGTTTATGGTCCCCATCACCACAAAACCAAAAGTAAGCCTGTACACCTCTGGATGTGACCCCCCCCAACCAAAAACAAACAAAAATATCCATCTTGGGGGCCCCAAACTGGAAAGTAGTGTTGTATAATTATTATTTATGATAAAATCCCACTAGTTCCTATCAAATATGGTCATAATAAAATGAGGAAATAATCTCATTTAACATTTAACAAAAACTCACTAGTGACTGGTGAAAATATCTACTATGAATTAAAAAGTTTCTTTTCTAGACTCACAACTTGATCGTAAATAAAATCATTTAATAGCATATGGCTCTTTTGTAGCAGGAATTATATGCCAATGAATGGTTATTCTCCTATATCCAGAATTTGGCTACATGTTACATGTTTATGGCCTCAATAAAACTTCAACATGTGTTGTTTATCTTACTGCTGTGTTCTTTCTTCATTGCTCTATCCTTACTCTTGGATTTTAGTAAATTAAACTGTGATGAAGGCTGGCTTCTTAACTGATATTTTTGATCCAAAATTTTGGGGTGAGAAAACAATCAGTTTCCTCATGATATAGGACAGGGTAAAAATTTTCTTGCTTTAGGCAACAAAAACAAGCCTCAAAATGGGACCTAGTATTTGTGAGGTCACTTAAATAGCTACTTTTTTGTGTCTATGTGGATATATTTATTTTATGAGGAATAGATAAGAGTAACCATGAAAGGACTCAACCATTATTTCTTCATCTCACTTCCTGGTGATTTTCTGCATGATTGTTTATACAGTTACTTCTTCCCCAAGCTGAAGCATGAAGTTGGGCAAAAATAGTTATTTTGATCTCTAATTGTAAAGAAAACCAAAATGGTTTGAAATGCAATCATTTGTCAATAAGTGTCAAAATTTTGAATTGTATCAAGACATATAATTTTCTCATCCTCTTCCTCCTCCTACCTTACATTTGAATGTTGACCATACAATCGTGATTTAATTTCTTGAGTTAAGCAGCATTTTCCTATTTATTTAGTACAGACATTCTAGGTTTTCTTTCTTTGAGGTCAGTTAAGGACTCTACTAACAGTAACATAGTTTGGAAATAGTGCCTTGGAACCAGTTTTGTCTTAGTACTTGGCAGTTCAATTAAGTCTCCACCCTTATAATCCAGAGATGTTTTATTATGTGCTAGTGGCTAATTTTCCCAAAATCTTTAAAATGTTCTTTAAAGTACAAAGAATTATTTGATTGTGACTTGCTAGTATGTCTGTTTCTAATGGGTGGTATTTAATTTCTATTCATGCCTCTTCCCTACTCCCTAGTACCTTTTTTCCCCCTGTGTGTGTGTGTATGTGTGTGTGTGTGTGTGTGTGTGTGTGCATGTTTCTTAAGGAAAAAGGTTTAGTGCTTTCTGCCAATTTGCTTTAAATAGAGACATAATAAAAACATACAAAAGCTGTTATTGAAGTTGATAGGGAAAAAAACTGATTTAAAAAATGTAGACCCTCAAATGCCCTTTAGCTTGTGTGCAAACATCATTCATTACCAGAAACGATAATGAATGTATAATGTTTGAGCAGCTTCCATACTTACTGCCTCTCATTTCCAATTTCCAAAAGCTGAGTTATATCTATGGAGTGCCTGTCGTTTTGAACCTGATTTCATTCCAAACCACTTTTTAAAAGCCAGTTTGTTGTGATACTCTAAGTCCAGTAAAATGTAATTTTTCTGTTAGAGAGTTCACAGGGTATTGATTTTTGCATAATCAATGACATCAATGGTGGGTATTCAAGAACCAATAAATGGGACCATAATTGAGTCACGGGTCAGCTGCTGCAAAGAGAAGTGCAAATATTAACCCATGGACAATGGCAAGGAGGCAGGTGCAATAGTTTCTGGCTATTTTTCCAGTTCGTTTACCAACCAGGGGCCAGTAAGGTGGTAACTAAAAACTAATGATCCCTCTACAGTATTAACATTTTCCAGTTTTCTTTTAAATGGCCACAGGCAACAAAAATATTAACGAAGACACATGTATGTTAGCATAGTCAGCAAGGGATGTAAATCACAGTGTCCATTGTTAGGTTTTACTGCTCCTGGTTTTCAGCACTGTCCTGATGTGTGATTCCACTATGCAGTTTTCAGAATGCATCAAGCAAGGTATGTCGCCATACCTTCATCTCTATCTATAAAGGTGCATTAAGCAGAAGAACCATATTTACATTTTTCTCGTGTTGAACTTCGATAATTCCTGGATTTTGTCAAGTCTAGGCACTAGGAATAATCTTTAAACTCATAAGCCAAAAAGGCTTACCATATACCAAGAAGCACTGTAAGAGAATTGATGATGAGAAAGCAGCTGGCCTCTGTAGTGGCTTCCTAGCCAGGAAGCATTGCTCTGACTGGTGAGGTCATTGCTCTAAAGGAGCTTTATCTTCTTGTGTGGAAACTCATAAATATGTTTACAGATGTGCTTGTTTCACAAGGCAAAAGATCACCTGGGATTGTTTTAGGGGATTAATTTCTAACAAAGGGTGATTAACTTATTTGTAAGTAATAAATAATTATCATGATCACAGTTCTTTGGGAGGGGCATGATATAGAACTACCTTGTGGCATCAATTACAGTGTACCCCAAGATGGAATGTGAAGAATGATAGCATGTCAGTCTCTTCCTTTCATCATCTTTTTAAGAGCTAATTAACATATTAACTATGCTTGTCAAAATGTGGGGCAAATCATTTATAAATAAGCCTGTCAAATGTAATGAGATTGCATATTAAATCACCCTTTCCTCTATTACATCTTTGATTTAAGATTAAAATTAATTTTTTTAACATTGTAGCAGCTGGGTGGTTAGAAAATGATTTCCATACCAGTCGTGATATATAGAAAATTGTCTGCATCAAAACTGATTTTGCATATATCAGAAAAGAAACTGCCTATTTATTATTATAAGGCCATTTAGCATCATGCTTTATTAAATACGCTTAATCATCATGCATATTGGAATTATCCAGAGTTCTGCAATCATCCCTAACAATATCATCTTTAATAGTCTCTCTTTAACCAAGGTAATTTGTGTAGGAAATAAAGTTTTAAGGACTCACATTTATTTACAGTATTTTAACAGAGAGAATCACAAATTAATCTTACTCTAGCCCCTACCCTGAAAATAATTTTTATATATATGTTTCTTTCCTAAGTATTCGAGTAATAGTAACCATTGAGTCTTAAATAATAGTAACAATAGCAATAATAATCATGCTTTTATTAAAAACAGACTGCATGCTGAGCACTGCTTTTTCCCTACTTACCTTCTGTTTCAAAATGTAATGGCAGAAGATAAAACAGAAAAACTAAATATAAAAAGCAGTTTTCCATGCTTACTGAAAACCAGTAAAAGCATGGAATTCAGGGCCACACCTACTCAAAGTTCTTTATTCTTCACAACATATTTTGTAGTATCTTAAGATTATTTACAAGAAATTGGGCTTTATTTTACTAGTGACCCTAAATACAAATGCAATAAAATTCCTGTTTTTTGGTTCAGTTTGTTCTCTAAGTCCTGCTGGGTGGCTTTTACTCAACTGCCCTAAGCACTACCTTTTTCTCCTCTCATCATATCCTGTTTTTATTTTTTGCTTCTTTTTGGGTCACTCCTGGCAGTGATCAGAGCTTAATTCTGACTCTATGCTCAGATCTCACTCCTGGCACTGCTCAGGGATCAGACGTGGTTGGTTCTAGGGTTTGAACTCAGGTTAGTATGTGCAAGTCAAACACCCAACACAATACTTTCTCTGGCATCTTTATCCTGTTCTATTTTTGTTTTATTTTACTTTTTTATTAAGAAACCATGACTCACTGAATTATTCATAGTTGAGTTTCAGCCATGCAATGTCCAACACCAGTCCCACTACCAGTGTCCTCAGGTTTCTTCCCTCCACACAGAATGCCTCCTCAACAGGCCATTTTAAGTTTGATTATCCTGTTTCATCTTAAAAGTTTACTAATTTTCTCTTTTCCTCTCCACCCCCTTTTTTTCTTTGTGTTTGTTGCACACTTGGTTGTAGGGTGCTGGAGTTTGCCTGCTTTATCAGGTGCCAGAGATCACAGAGTTAGAGGCAGCTGTCATTCTCAGTGATGTAGGATGAACTCAAATTCACAAGCCACATGCGTCATGCAAGGGAGACTCGTAGCACCGAGCCCCATTTCCTACGCCATTCCAGTTCCTTATTAGACAGACATATTTTTGTTTACAGAGGGGTTTGTTTGAAAAAAAAACTCACGACAGATTATTGAATTAATTTTTTCAATGGGATCAGCATCTGTGCTGTTATGCCTTTTCCTAATTCCTAGCCTTTACTCATTTGACCACCTTTCCTAATAAGAATGAATGTTTAAAAATGCTCGGGGGCGGGGGGAGGGGGCTGGAGCAATAGTACTGTGGG